GCTGGCTTCTGGTTTTTCCAAGAAAATTGCCAAAAAAGGAAATTTTTTAGGAAATTTAGGATCAGCGGAAAGAGTTAATAAAAAATATCAAAAAAAAAGTTAATATCTATATATTATTTATTAAAGTACTATATATCTTTATCCTTAAAAAAAAAAAAAAAAAAAAAAAGATTTTTTTTATATTATTTTTTTTTTCAAATAAAAAAAAATAGTTTTAAAAAATAGTTTTATTGATATTATTTTATTTAAAAGTCTGTCTAAAAAACTACTTATTCAAAAACTTGATAATATTTATAATTAGAAGAGAGCCTTAAAATTTGTGAAAAGATTAATAATCTAATTCTAAAGATATAATAATATTTGTTTTAAATATAGATTGCTTATTAAAAAAATATAATTCTTTTAAAAACAAATCAAATTTTTAAAAAACCTTTTATTCTATCAATAATTTTTGATTAGTACTTTCACTACAAATAAGAATAATAAATATAACTAATGATCTAAATAGTTATACTAAAAAAAAAAGTTATGTTAAAAGTTTTAATAAAGATTTTAAGTTTGTAATTTTTTCATAAATCATAGATTAAAAATAAAAAACTTATTAACTAAAAAATTTTTTTTTATTCATCTTATTTATTTTTATAAAAATAAAACAGATTTTTATCTATCTATAGAAACCAATAGAATCAATCTATTTGACTATTAAGATAAATGGTTTTAATACTAAAAATAATTAAAGTATTTTGTGATTTTTATTATAATCAAACAGACTCTTTCTTTTTTTAAAGAAGTAGTTTCAATAAATAGAACTAGATATTATAATCTATAAAGTGTTTACATTGAATTAAGTTAATAACTATAATAAGAGTAACACCTATTTGCAAGAGAAATAGTATAAAAAGAAACTCCAAATTCCTAATTTAACAAATTCAATTTTTTTTTTTTGTCTTTTTTTATATTCCTTTTTTAACTTGTTTAGTAATTAGGCATTCAAAAAAAATATCCTAACATTTTTTTTCAAAGTTCACATATTGAACAAATAGTTTTTATATAGATATCTAATTTCTTTTTCTTAAGTATTTGTAGAACTGAAAGTTCATTATATATTAGAATAGTTAAGAAACATGTAATCCAAAATTCAAAATCAAATTGAAATAAATAAAATTTCTAAAAAAAAACTAAAAATTTGTTTATGTGTTTCAAAAAACTTAGGGTCTAGTGAATTTCCTAGAGGACAAGTCTATTGTATATAACATAACCTTTGACAAATACTCTTTCTGAAAGGAAGTCTTTATAGTTAAAAATCTTTTTCCTGTGTTCTTTTTTATTATTAGAAATTCAAATTCTACTTATTTCACTTTTAAAACTTGAACTAACACTCAAATCAATCAGAGAACTGAAGAGAATATAAAAATAGATAGGAAGTGCTTTGTAATATATTACAAAGTGTATTTAATGATAGTATTACAACTTTATTAGCACAGAAATATAAAACTTCTGATGAACAAAGTGATAATAAAATTGATCAGCGAAAAGATTAAATTAAATATCAAGTATAGAATTTTGATTTTATAATAAATAAAAGCATTAGTGCAAATTAATGCCTCAGGAGTGAACATGGCTAGACCTCGGAAACGCAACAAAATACGGAATCCATCCTTAAAAATTTCGCGCAAGACCGCGAATAAGCATTTCAAAAAACTTCGCGTCAAAGTAATTGTTCAATATGAAAAAATTTACGCATTTATCCGAGCGTCTAGTTTCTAATGTAGAATGTCCCTTAGGGTAATGCCATTATTGCCAACCGTTGGGATACTAAAGCCACTCTCCAGCAAAAGTATGTTTCAAGCCTATTGCGCAGAGAAAATTAATAAGGTAGAACTAACCCTTAAACGTCCAACAAGCTACCGACGGCTTGGCCTCATGACTTCACTAAATGGTATTTCAGGAGGCGTCGAAAAACTATATCCCGAAGAACCCACTCCGGCGTTGGACGTGGTGGAATCGAGGAAAACTCTCGATCCCGATGAAGGTATTATCGAACGCGATGAACAGGGAAACGTGATCAATGTTATAATTCGCAAGAATCATGAAGAAGACACCAAAGTTCTGCCTACGCCAGCGAAAACAGAAGTTGTTAGAGGTTCGTTTTATTTCCTTTGAAAAAAGGTAAATTTGATCAAAGTCAGAATAACGTCATGTCGAAATTTAAAAAAAAGCTCTCGAGATTCAGGCAGCCGAGGTGTATACGCATGAGCGACGTCAATCCGAGGGTGAAAGACGGTTATGTGAAGAGTTGATCAACAAATACGGAAACGATTATCAATCTATGTCCAGGGATATAAAGATCAATACGTACCAACATACTGCAGCTCAGTTAAAGAAGAAATGTGAAAAATATTTGAAAGAACGATAATAGTTGTCGGTAACATTCACCATTAAATTCTATTCGGTAACGATGTTTTAACATGAATACATGAAACGAATATTATCTTTTGAATTTCCCCTTTCGACTGGGTCTTGCGTTTTTTACCCTTCGCTTTTCTTTTAATTTCCTCTGCTTATGAATCTGTTCCGCAGTCCTTAGTTCATTATTGAGTTTGGAATTACTTGAACCTTTACCGCTACTCAACCCATCACCTCCAGATCTTTTCGAAAGTTTCCGTTTTTTCTTTTCATAGTCTTTAGCAAGCGGATCTAATGGCTTCGGCGTAGTTATTTTTTTGTGTCGAAATCGTTTGGTAATAATATTTTTGGAAGAAATTTCATTATCCCCTGTATGCGGAATTTCAAGTTTATTTTGTTGTTTCCAAGCGTCAAATCTAAAATGAACATTAATCAGTTTGATAGTCTTAATAGAAATGAATTAATTTCACAAGGTGAATTTGCCTTCCGCTTTTATATGTCGCCGGTAGTTTCGCACCACTTTCAGTTTTAATAAGTTTCTTATTATCCGATCCAATTCCACTGCCTCGGACAAAATTCTTCTTCTTGTTGTCCCATCGCAATCCCTCTTTCTTTCTGCTTATACCATTGGTGAGTTCATCATCTCGAGTATCCATGACTACCTTTTGTGATTCCTCAACAAATGACGTGCCTTTACTGACTGAATATCTAAAGTACATATTGTGGAATGAGTGTAGCTTAGATCGAAAAAATTCAAGATGGACATGTCATCACAAACCCTTTTTCCGTGTTTGCATCTTTTTGAAAGTGTGGTATATAGTATTGATCGTCGCGAAAGTGGTCCTTCTTTTGTTTTTTTCCTGAATAAATTTGATGTCAAGCCATAATTGTTTTTACGAATCTCACATAACCTGTAAAAGTTTACTTACGAGTTTCCACCATATCATCCGATTTTCTCTTCTTAATTTCGTCGTTTTTCGACTGAGCAAATAAACGCAGACTAATGTTTACAATCAATGCCGAAATATGCATTTTATGTTAAGAAGGAAGGAAAGTACCTCTTCTTCATTAGCAGAGTCCAAGTTTTCGATGGTGCTCGAGTGATCGAGCCTATGGGCTTTTACTTTCTTTGATACGGCTTCCCTATGTTGTTTCATTATGCGTGCTGCTAAAGATGCTTTTCGGTTACCACGACTGCCTATCTCAAATATTGTCTAACAAATGGAATAAAAACATGATTTTCAAAATCCAAACACAAACAGTGATTTCAAACGAGAAATAAGTCACATAATAACCTCTTGAGGACGAAAATTCGAGATTGAACTTAGGAATCCTAAGCGATTCTTTTCGTTGGCATCGACTTGACTTGCTAAAAAAATTTTTTAAGGTCCAGCAGCATAGACGCATTAGTTAACCATCGTAAAACTTTACCAAAGGAAGGAAAAAAAAATGTACGTGTACCAACCAAAAAGTGGGTGAACATCAACGTAATTATTCATCATCATAATTTCCTTTGCTCTCTTATAACTTTCCGGAGCGGCCGACGGTCGGGATTTACAAAATAACTTGTAGCCATTTTTGGAAACTTCGCATAGGGACTTGAGGTTGAGAATCCCTCGTAGTTTTTCCTTTGCCCATTCAACGTACGGATCAAAAGAAGCATGTGGAAAACATCCAACGATTATGTCAGAGGTGTAATCGGGCGTTAAGGTGTTTGAAGAACCAATCAATAGGCGACGACCGAGAAACAGTTGGAGGTCTAGTAAATATGGGAGCTGGAAACATTCGTCAAGAAAATAAGCAATCGCGGATGGAGTATAACCAGGACATCAAAATAGCTAACCTCCTCGGAAGTCACCAAAGAATAGGCAAATCCACGCCTACCGGCTCTAGCTGTTCTTCCAACTCGGTGAACGAAAATTTTACTACTGTCTACAAAGTCATAGTTAACAACGTTTTCCAAAACTGGAATATCAATTCCACGAGCTGCAATATCCGTCACAACCAAAATATTGGTTCGACCGCAACGAAAGTTGTTGATTTTAATTTTTCGCGCAGTCTGATCAAGTGAACCATATATGTAGGAAGTTTGATATCCATATAGAGACAAAAGTTGAGCTATATATTCTACGTGATGCTTTGTTGAAACGAATATAATTGTTTGATGCAAGGCCGATGATTGTTCTCCCGTGCGCGACGAATCATTATTTGAAGCGTTGCCAGCTATCTCCGAGGCCGACTTGGTGATGATGGGAACTTTTATAACTTCATGAAGAATGTACAGTAAAGCAGCCTCTTTTTCGTCTTGTTTCACAGAAAAGAATGCCATCTAAGTATGAGTGTTGATGGTGTCAATCTAAAATCCAGAGATAAAATAAGTATCGAGAAAATTTGTATGATCATACCTCCAAATCAGAGCTTATTTTTGTATCGACATCCAATCGCACCAAAGTCGGTTCCTGCAGTCCAGCCTTTGCGAAATCCACCAGGGATTTGGGAAGAGTGGCCGAAAAAAGCAATGTCTGCCTGGAATGAGGTAGTTTGTATAGTATTTCGTGTAATTGAACGGAAAATCCTAATTCAAATAGCCTTTACAACAGTATTTTAAATTACTATATGAACAATAAAATGGTGGATGTCAACAAAAGAGCCAGAGAAAGGAACCATTACCGATCGGCTTCATCAAATACTATATATTCAACAGTCCTAAGTTCCATTTCCATTTCCACGATCAAATGGAGAAGACGCCCCGGAGTTGCTATTATACTTTGATCGCGATTATTTTGAATTTAATTAAAAAATAATTGTCGGTATAAAAACAATCTGAAGTGAAACCAATGAACCTAAAAAGTACATGTCTGGATTTCCCGCAATTATCTCAAACTGTTCTTCCAGGCTATCACCCCCAACTACTATGCAACTTCTCAAATCTGTATATTTGGAAAGTTCTGCACATACTTTTCGAGTCTGGAATGCCAGCTCGCGCGATGGAGAGAGGATAATCGCTCGCGCGCCAACCTGCCAGAATAAATCATCAGCTATCTTAAATATTCAAGATATCCAGGAGAATGCCCGAAGTAACTAATCACCTTTGCCGAATGAACTTTTAATTTTTCCAACATCGGTATCAAGAATGCAGCCGTCTTCCCGGAACCTGTTCTTGCCATACCAACAACATCTCGTCCGTCCATAATCAACGGTATTGTTTTACGCTGTATTGGTGTTGGGACTTTGTATCCCTTGTGTAATATTGCCTTGTAGATCGGGTAGCTTAAACCTTTTTTCATTAATGTAAACGTTAGAGAAAGACAGTAAAGAGAGCACTTGTTGAGGTTTAGTACCCATTGATTGAAAGCCTCCAGATTTTTTCTTTTTTCGATTTTTGGCTTGAATTTGCTTTGAAATAAACACGTCTTCCTCTTGTTCTCCGGACGAAAGGTCAATTTCCAGTTCTTTTACAAGAGAATTAGAAATATCCATTTCATTTTCTGTGAGATGTTCGTCCTTCGAAGAATCAGATTCATCGCTTGAGCGTTCGCGTTCGACATCTTTTGTCATCGTTTCCACCAAACAAACTAACAAATCTACAAAAATATTTTTGGAAACTTCAGATAAAAGCTTTTGATTGGCTACTAAAATCTATTAATTCTTTTTGCACAACGTCTACGTATGTAGATATAAAATCCCACAATTGCAGCAAAACCATGAATTCCGAGAATATTACACATCAAGATACTGCCACTCAGACCAACCTTGATCCGGCCATCCTAAAGGTACAACTTGACAATGCATTGGGGGAAAACAAGACACAATACTGGGACCACATTCGAAGCTTTATCAAAGGAAAAATCAACCGAATGGAACTCGATTTCTGGGCAAACTTGTTTTTGTCGAATGAGCATTGTAAGCGAAAAGCAAAACTATTTTTTTTTTTTTTTCTTCACGAAAAACTACCAACATTGTTTTGGCCCGGCAGCACATCTTCACGAAGAATTTGTCCGAGCGAGCATAAATAAGAACAAGAAAAAAACGTGCGTCGACGTCTCAGACCGTCGAAAAGTTGTTAACAATACTCGACGTTTATCAATAAAAGAAAAGAGCAAACGCGCGTCACAACATAAAGTGTTGAAGGACATATTCAAATCGATGGAGAAAGATGACAGGAACCAATTAAGATATTTTTTGAAGGTATCCAATGCTATTAAAAAACAATTGATGAAAGCGAAACCAGTTTTGTATATTATTAATTATAATTATTAATTTTAGAATGCCAAGTGTCAACAAGAACGTAAACTCGGGAAGAGCAAAGACTCCGCAACGGCGCGTTCCGACGATCCGAAAAAGGAGGAATCGATGTGTTCAAAGAGAGAGTTTCCCGAATACGAACATGTATACGCGCGCATGAAAGAGATCGCGTTGAATAACGAATTGGTGGATGTTCAGGAGGACTGTGTGTCGTTGATGCTCCTCGCGTTAGAGGTATGTGAAAAAAATTTTTTGACAGTATTCAAATGGTGACAATACTGTTATCAGCAAAGTGATCAACCTTTATTTCAACTTCAAAGGCACACACCAAAAACATTTTACATAGCTGTATTAATAAAATCAGAAAAGTCAAAGATTTACAAGACAACGACAGTAGTGATCCTGTTCGCCCGCCGATATCCCTAAAGGACCTTGCGTTCTCCATTGAATTATCACCTCACGTTGCGACATTGTCATCGTCGCTCGAAGAAAAAATCAGGGTGAACTTAAGGCACGATTCTCATCAAATACGATGATGGTATTGGATGACAATGGGATTTATCATAAGAGAAAATAAAAATACCTCGCATCACCCACATGACAATAATAATTGACGAACATTACGTTAATTATTCGATTCCCGAACGAGAAATAGTAACATCATCGTATTCGTCAATACTGTTCACCAAGCTCTCTGGATCGGGCTTGGGAGATACGACATGAACCTTTATACCCTTAGTCTCTTCAAGATAGCTTCCCGTGGTTTTCCCAATGGCTGCAATCTTTACTTCATCCCAATATTCCAATTTCTTAAGATCACCTAACGCCACGTCTACACCACTGGGACTAAAAAATACTATCCAATTAAATCTTTTATATTTTTTGGTGATTCCCTCTTGTTCGCTGTAAAAGTCTACGCGCTTTCCAGTTCTATAAATCATCAGTTC